TCACAGAGGGCAAGTGAGGAGGAGGAGGGACTGTAAGAGGAGAGAAGATGGGAGGCGACGACTGAAGCTGCAGACACACGGGCAACAGAAGTGGCTGACACAGTGGCGGCTGACACAGTGGCTACCGAGGCAAGGGCCCCGGACTACTGGAGTAACTGGCTCTGCGGCTACGACGAGCGGCAGAAGCAACAGACCCACGGGCGACTGGTGCAGCAGGCTCTCTGAGCTACCGGCGACAAGGGCCCCGGAATACAGGAGTAACAGGCTCTGCGGCTGCGACGAGCGGCAGGAGCAACGGACCCACGGGCAACAGGTGCAGCAGGCTCTCTGAGCTACCGGCGACAAGGGCCCCGGAATACAGGCGCTGCGGACGACACGACGGCTGCCTCCACTCAACCTCCCCCAACTGTCCCACACCCCCCTACACACACCCCCAGTTTCACCCCTAGCTCCACTCCCACATCACCCCCCTAGCTCCACTCCCCACGGCTCCCACACCTCCACCCCCCCGCAGCGGCAGCTGCAGCAGTGGGAGACGAAAGAGGAGGAGGGGAAAGGGAAGGGGAGAGCCCACACCTCTCACCCCCATGCTCGCCACCCCACCCCCCAACCACCGCGGAACGCACGGCAGAACGGGAGAATGGGCAGCACGGGGGGGGGGGGGGGGGGGGGGGGGGGGGGGTGGGGGTGGGGTGCAGGGACGGCATCACGAGCAACTGCAGGGGCGGGCCGTGGGCTGCTGCACGGGCGGCCCGCGCGGGCCCCGGGGCGGCGCCACGGGCTGCTGCAGGGGTCCTGGGGCGGCCGCTGCAAGCGCGGGCCGCTCCAGGGGCGGCTGCTGCAGTGGTGGGCGGCTCCAGGGGCTGTTGCTGCAGTGGCGGGCGGCTCCAGGGGCGGCCGCCACAGTTGAAAGGCAGGAGGAGGGGGGGGGGGGGAAACGCACGGCCCCCAGGGCGCCCCGAGGGGCGACGAGAAGGGAGCCGCGCGCCCCCCCCCCCCCGGGGCGCCGCGACGGGCACCAGGGAGGGCGCCGCGACGTGCCCCCAGAGCCGCCTCGACGGGCGACAGGGAGGGCGCCGCGCGGGCCCCCCGAAGTCGCCTCGACGGGCGACGGGGAGGGCACCGCGCGGGCCCCCCGAAGTCGCCTCGATGGGCGACGGGGAGGGCCGCGCACGGCCCCCGAAGTCGCCTCGACGGGCGACGGGAGGGGACCGCGCGCGGCCCCCGTGGTCGCCACGACGCGCGACTGGTGGGGAGGCCGCGCGGGCCCCCGAGGTCGCCTCGACGGGCGACGGGAGGGGAGGCCGCGCGGGTCCCCGAGGTCGCCTCGACGGGCGACGGGAGGGGAGGCCGCGCGGGTCCCCGAGAGCGCCTCGACGGGCGCTTCGACGGGAGGGGACCGCGGAGGCCCCCCCAAGGGCACCACGACGGGCGCCACGGAAGGGAAAACCGCCAGGCTCCCCGAGCGCGCGGCGGGCAGAAATTAGGGTTTCGCCGCCGCGCACCACGGGGCGCGCGGCGGACAGTACGGCAACGGAAGCGGGTGGTGGGCCCATACACAGGAAGGCGGCAGACATGCCGCCCTCTGATACCATGTCAAATATACTAGGAAGACGGCCTAGGCTCAGTAGCCTAGGCCACAGTAGGACTACGAAAGGAGGCGCCAAGTACCAGCTAGGAATGTGTGCACGAACAGAATTGAGAAGGAATGTGTTGAACTAGCAAGCAGCAGGGTACAAATAGCAAACCCTAAGGGGTTGTACTCACTATTGAGGACCCCACTGCAGGCTACACAAATAACATATTCTGACAAGTGCCAGCACGAGGGCCAGTCAGGATCCGGTACTGGCAGGGTCCAACGTCGCGGCCACCACGACTACCCCTCCAGCCGTCTGGGCAGACGCTCCCCGAACCACGAAGCCCCCACTGTTGCGGAGGGTGCCACTGCTGCGGAGAGCGCCACGGCTGCTGGGGTCCCCACTGCTGAAACTGCTGCTGTCCCTGTCGCTGTAAGGCCCGAGTGGAAGCCATCGTAAAATGCTAGCTGGGCAACAGGCGCGAGGAACTGCTGGAGCAGGAGTGGCTGGAACTAGGAACTGCTGGAGGTAGAAACAGCTAGGACCACCAGGCTAGGAACGGCTGGTACGAGGAGCGGCTGGAGCGAGGAGTGACAAAAGAGTGTAGGCGGCTGGAGCTAGAACGGCTGGAGCTAGAACGGTTGGCGCTGAAACGGCTGGAGCTAGAACGGCTGGAGCGAGAACGGCTGGAGCTAAAACGGCTGGAGCTGGAACGGCTGGAGTGAGAACGGCTGGAGCTAGAACGGCTGGAGCTAGAACGGCTGGAGCGGAAACGGCTGGAGCTAGAACGGCTGCAGTGAGAACGGCTGGAGCTAGGCACGGGTGGAGCTAGGACTGGCTGGAGTGAGGAGCGAACGGGGCTAGGAACGCCTGTAACGTCGGGGTACTAGCCCTAATCCGCGCCAGTAGAAGTATATGTGGCTGTCAGCCGCCTCTAGAGATGCCAAAGGTAGTAGGCGTGTAGGAGACAACGGGGACGGCTGGCGGCTGCGAGGGCGGGGCGTAGGAGGGTAAAGCGCGGGTGCGTGCTGTCGAAGTGGCGGCTGTGAAGAGCTGTGGGCGACGGGGGAGGGCTGTGGGCGGTTTGGGCAGGGCTGTATGGCGCAGTTCTGGCTAGGGGCGCGTGCTCAGGCTGAGGCGCGCGGTGCTGGCCAGGGGCGCGCGCTGCTCTGGCCAGGGCGCACGCTAGCTGGTGGGGGGGCGTGCAAGTAGGCAGGTGGCGCGCGCTAGTTGGCTGGTGGCGCGCGCTGCTGGCTGGTGGTGGGCGCTGCTGGCAAGTGGTACGCGCTGTTGGCTGGTGGCGCGCGCTGCTGGCAGGTGGTGCGCGCTGCTGGCTGGTGGTGCGCGCTGCTGGCAGGTGGCGCGCCGCTGCTGGCTGGTGGCGCGCACTGCTGGCAGGTGGCGCGCGCTGCTGGCAGGTGGCGCGCGCTGCTGGCTGGTGGCACGCGCTGCTGGCTGGTGGCGCGCGCGCTGCTAGTTGGTGGCGCGCGCTACTGGCTGGTGGCGCGCGCTAGCTGGCTGGGGAGGGCGGAGCGAGGGTCCTAGGAGGGACGGGCGGAGCGAGGGTCCTAGGAGGGACCGGCGGAGCGAGGGTCCTAGGAGGGAACCTAGCGTGATACCATCTCAAAGTAGCTTAGCTGAATGTATGCATTAGGGTTTGGAAGCTACACAAATAGTAACCCTAGAAAAGTGTTGTACTCCCTATAGTGCTACTCACTGTAGCCTACAAGCATAGAATAACATTTGACATACACTGACCAAATCAGCTTAAGTTTTTTTTTACCCTGTTTCCATCAGTGTACGGAATTTTTTACCCTAGGAGTCAGGGTTGGCCTAGCCTGGAACACTGATTAGACAGGGTGAGCCAAAACCAATTTTGGGCCCTGCTCACGATGGGTCAGTGATAGATGCCGTTGTGGCGGATCATGAAGAGCAAAGGAAAGGGTTGTAACATGGGAGAGAAAAGTGTACAAGTAAGCATGATTCATTATGATAGGGGCCCTTTCATTATGATTGCGATACCCATATGGGCCTGGTGTGGTTATATAGCCTGAAATATGGAAGTATAAGTGTCATTGGTTAGTGTAACTCTTATGGGAATGAATTACCGTATGTAATCTGTATTCTGAATTTTCACAAGTGCTAACAACCCTACATAACGAGTACACGTTCAAATTGTGGGAAGCGGCGCGACCTCATTCACCTTCTTCCAAGCAGAGCGGGAGTACAGGCGGCTGAGCCACGCCTTCACATTTGGGCGGGAATCAAACAGATCTCCAACTCCCGCCGACTTGAGATGCTCAGTGACAGGCAGATGTGTCAGATCTGCGACAGTGAGCGAGTCGCCCACCAGATACTCCCGCCCTTCCAGATGCTTCTCGTAAACATCAAGGATCTTCTCCAGCTGCAACATCCCAGGAAACGGAACGGGAGACAGGAAGAGTAGAAATGCCAGAAAGACGCCATGAGGAGAATCAGTAGTAAGGCAAGCTAAATCGACGTCGTAAGGCAAGCCAAAAGTTGCAAACAGATATGGCGGCGGATCAAACGAGAAGCTAGTTTTTTTCAGCCATGGACGTATGTCGCAACAGAAAACGACGGCTCACCTTTTTCGTCGCCGCGGCGACCTTTTCTTCGTCAGGCTCGCCGAGCTGACGAAACTTCTTAAAGACTCGCTCGAACGCGATCGTGATCGCCTCGGGCGTGTACGCGTTGACCTCCGTCTCGATCCACTGGTTCACGCGGCCTCGCTCCAACGCGTCCTTCCCCAGCAGATTGACTCCGCGTTCCGCGCCGTACTTGTCGGCGAGGTAGCGCATGATGGCTCGAGACTCTGGAAATGGGAGGTAAATGGACAGGTCAATACACCTCGCTGAGCTGCGTCGATCTGAGAACAAACGCCGTTCATCCGCAGCAGTGTCGACTGGGTAGCACGTGTAAGTGTTACAAGACAGAGCTTTTTGGGGATAATGGACAATGCTGATGGGTACCAAACCTAATGGACATACTCGATGATTCGTGTCTCAATTCCCAACAACTAGTGGTTACGGTGCACCCCGTTATGGGAGTCGAAATGCGTTGTCAAGGACCTCCTGGCCGCGAGGAACCCAACGAGGTTCGACATGATTCATTTGCGCTATGGTGTGACGAGGTGCTTCCACGTTAATTTCATTCCCACCAAGGAGCTAGTTCATTCTTGGATGCACCTATCTCGGGTAAGAACTCCCCAGATGCACTCACTGTGGGCTTTGAGAGAGGCTCCTCCCGAAAGTGTTGCATGCAACCATATCACCCGTCAACCAACGCAGTCCCCAGGTGCACCTTCCCCAAATCCTCCTACCCCAGATGATTGCCATGGGCATACACAAAGGACTGCATGCAATCGTATTCCGCTCACTCGACCCAGTCCCCAAATCCACCTACCCCAGATGCACTCGCCGTCGTCTTCGAGCAGAGGCACCTTCCCGAAGGGCTGCTTCGCGAGGAACGCGGGCGTGCGCGCCTCGCCCTTGGGGGCGTTCACCTGCTCCCACTCGTAGTCCTGCGCGCGCGGGGGGTGGGGGGGTTTGGCGTGGGTGGGGAGAAGGGACGGAGGAACTTGTGAAGGAGAATCCGACACATGTTACTAAAACGATTCGCCCTTGGGGACGTCAACCTACTCCCACTACGAGTCGTAGCCCTGCTTTGTGAAAAGGAGGGAGGGGACGGAAAAATCAGGAATTGAAGGGTAGTGAAGGGATAATCGGGGTGTAATGTGCGAAACGAATGGGGGACTTTCAGAGGAAAAAACCAGGTGTGATTCTAAGGCGCCTCGCCGTTGGAGCCGTTCACTTGCTCCCACTCGTAGTCCTGCTCAAGAGGGGTGTGTACGGGAAGGGAGAGGGGGGTGGAGGGAAGAGGGTGGGCGGCTGGGGGGCGGCGTTGGGTTGAATGTTTGTAGGGTGAATACTTACTTGCTTTCAGCTGCGTCAGTCCTGCTTTCAGAATAGAGGGAATTTAGGGGAAATTTGATATTGCTGTCAGATTGCACCGAGGGGAATGGCGTGTCGTAACACGTCATCATGCGACCTATCTTCAAGCGGCGCTGGGAAGGTGTGGAATATGCCAGATTCGCAGGCTTACATGGGGTTTGGACCCGATGTAAGGGGCCCTGCGGGTCGCACCTCAATGCCGAGTTCGTGCAGCGTGAGCAAGACGCGGCGGACGAAGGGCGAGTAGCCCATTCCGTAGAGCTTCAAGCTGGCCATCTGATCTGAACGCGTCGCGGCTCGGTTTCAACGAGGGTAATGCGCTACTACTGTGGAGCTCTACTCGATTTGGTTGAGGTGTCTCGATTCCGAACCAAGAGAGTCACCACTAGTAGTTGATCTACTGAGCGAGTGCCGGAGGAGTAGGTTGTTTGACAGTAGGACGAAGAGCAGATGTCGGAGGAGCAGGCTTTTAGTTTTCTGAAATTGATCTTTTGTGCCGCTTCTTGTACCTTCATCCCATCAAGCCTGATGGCTGTCCCACAGTCCTAGACTGTCCTCGAATCCCGCCGTTTACCACCGCCTTCGCGAGGAGAGGGGGCAAAGCAGGCGAAGTGAGGTATTTCATCACGCCTTCGATTGTTGGTCACCCGTGCGTCAGCGCGACCCGAGGATGGAACGCAGAAGGAAGGTTCATTTCACTCGAAGAGTCACGAAGATGACGTTCAATATTACGTGTACAGATTAGCTGTGGTACACAACTATACGAAGTGGATATGCCTTACAATATAATACCTCTGCCATGCTTTATGTACAGAGCTGATAAAACAATATACCGTTATATCATACAGATAGGGTGGCGAGGATTTCCACGCCATTTTATTCAACGCTTTAAGTATGGATAAGAATCATTGGCCAGTAGATTACTCAATGATTGGTGGAGGAATTGACCCATTTGTGCTCTGCAAAATCAACCAAGGCCCACAAGTAAGAAATGATCTCCTCCCAAAACCACATTCAACGCAGGAAACTGACGATAAAACTCACCAAGAATCTCGTCCACAGTGATTCGGGTGCTGGGGTCAGGAGAGAGCATGTGAATGATGAGATGCTTGGCTGGTGACGACAGCTCCTGCCACCTCCGGCTGCGATTGAACCCACTCTGCTTGGCCTCTAGTACCCTCTGCCACACACCACCACCACCATCACTGCTGCTGCTACTACTGCTGCTGCTGCTGCTGCTGCTTCCATATTTCACACTGCTACCACTCCTGCTGTTGCTCGCGGTGCTGCTGCCGCAGAAGGGAAACGAGCCACAGAGCATCATGAAGAGCACGACACCAGCGCTCCACACGTCGCACTCAGCGCTTCGTACGACTCAGAAAAAACCTCCGGGGCCATGTAGTTGGCTGTGCCCATCGCCCCCGATAGTGCAACACCCGGAGTGTGCCTAGCGGCCAAACCAAAATCAATCAGCTTGACATTCGCTTTCCCAATATCCTCGTTATTAGCATGATGCATCAGAAGGATGTTCTCGGGTTTGACGTCACGGTGCACGATGCCATGCGAGTGGCAGTGCTGCAAGGCCAGCATGAGCGATCGGAGGATGTGCGCTGCGGAAGGTTCCGAGAGCCTTCCGTGCGAGTCAATGCGGTCAAACAGGTCTCCCCCCTCACAGAGCTCCATCACCACGTGCACGTGCTGCAAGGGAGGAGGAAGGGGGGGTGGGGTGGGGAAGAGGCAAGGGGAAAGAAAAATGAGCAACCTTGTCGAGTTGTAGGAGACAGTTAGTAACCTCTACAGGGAGCATTATGGCAACAAGAGGGTTTGATTAGTGTAAGTATCTAGCATAGCAACATGGACGATTCATGAACGTTAAGCTGCAGGTTCTGGGGTTAGGTTTTCTGAAGTTATTCGCCATACTTTTAGAGAGGGGCAAAAGGTGACGGACAAGGGTAACTTACCCTGTTTGTCTCCACAGCCTGCTTGATCCGAATGATGTTGGCATGGCCTTTGAGTTCCTCCATGAATGCCACCTCGTTCCGCACTGCCTCCACGTCAGCAGCACTCTGCACATGTGGGTAGGCAAGAGGTACCAGGTAGGTCGGAAAGGAAAGGAACTCAGAACAAGGCACAAGGCACAAGGCAGGTCGGAAAGGAAAGGAGAACACAGAAGCTGAAGCTGAGAAGAAGAGGCGACAAGGACAAACGAGATGGGGAAGAGGGCAGGGGCAAAGTGTTAAAAAAAACATAAAGGCAAAAACATAGGGTTTAGGTGAAGGCCAAATCAGAAAGGTATTGGGTTTAGGCGAACGTCAAATCAGAAAGGTTTGGGTATAGGTGAAGGGGAAACACACCTGGAACGCGGATTTCCGGATGCTCTTGCAGGCAGCGATCTCCCCAGTGCTGCGGTGCACGCATCTCCGAATCACACCGTACTGCCCCGTGCCTATCTCCTTCTTCAGCAGAAGCCACTCCCGCCGAATGTCCTCCACTGGCCGCCTCAACACCTCCCCCATCTCCACCCCCACTTGCACCGCCCCCACTTGGGCCTCCCCCACTTGCACCTCCCTCTCCTGTGCTGCTGGAATTGCGTGTCCACAGGCGTTGGCTTTCAGAGGCTCAACCGAGGCTGCAGGCTCGGATTCCAAGTCCGGAGCTGACTCTGAGGCTCGGAGTCTGAGGCTGGCATCAGCTGGTTCGGATTCAAAATAGTCACCGCCAGTTACCACACTGACTGAGTTGACCACGTTGACTGCATGCACTGTGTTGTCCATGTTGACCGTGTTGACTCTGCTCGATGCAATGAACGCGTTGACAGCATTGACTGCGTTGAATCCGGCGTTGACTCCGTTGACTTGGCTGGTTCGGTTGAATTCAGGGAAGGCGGGAGGAATGAGCCCATGAGGAGCATCGTGAAACCATTGCTGCAGCAGCGACTGCCGCTGCTTCCGCCCCTCCACCTTTGGTGCCGTTTCAACCGCTGTTGATGCCGCTGCCTTTTTCAACCAATCCCCAAGCGCCACGTTGGCTGCCGCGGTACCACTAGCAGCTCCCCCTTCAGCGGGAAGTCCGCAGTGAAACGCGGAAAACGATTCTCCGCCGGTTGTGTCGAATCGCGCGGCATCGGACGGCCATAGAATCGAGTCAACCGGAGGAATCTGGGACACGTGAGGCCACGCGGAGGCGGAAGGGGAGGCGGAAGGGAAGCCGGAGGGGAAGGCGGAGGGGAAGGCGGAAGGGGAGGCGGGGAAGTCGAAGGTGGCCGCGAGGCTGGAGCTCATGATGACGACATTCGAGGCGCCATAAGCGGCGTTATTTCTTCCGTCGCGCTGACACTCGAAGGACCCTCTCGAATGCCCATTCCCGCGGCGGTCGCCGGCGGCCGCGCTTGCGTGAGTACGCCCCGTCGCGCTGGGCGACGGCGTGCGATGTGTGCTCGCCATGATGGTCGAAATCAAGTGAATCGGATTTAAATCAGACCGTTGAGTCAAAGTCGACGAGAGATACTTTGGAGTCGACTCAAAAGATAGTCGTGCTGCTAGCACTACCAGAGTGCTTGCGAAACGAGGGGGGATAGCTGGTTCTAGGAGGGCGAATTCGAAAGACGAGCGAACTCGGTGGCGATAAGGAATTCGCATTCACTGCGAGCGTATTTATGGTAGAAAGTGATCATGCCGCCGATGGGTCAGAGGGTATCGATCAAAGGGGCGGAAAGGGCGCGCGCAAGGGGCGCAAGGGGCGCAAGAGCTCAATGATGGGTTCTCCTCTCCTCTTACTCTCTCTGAGCCGAGTAACGCGGCGAAGGCGAGAGGCGCCGCGCGGGGACGACTCGGAGGCAATCGCGTTGTCGCGGTGTAAGAATGACACGCGCGCAAATTCTTCCCGACGTGCGCGCGCCTGCGGCTACTGCGGAGCCGACTCGCAGCGATCATCGGCGGAGCGGAGAGCTGCGGCGCGCCTCGCATGATGAGCCGTGGGCCACACCCACTCGTGTCGTGAGAGGAGACGACAAGACACATCACGTGGACTTGATGAGTCTTCTGCCACAAGCTTTCCACGAGTCTTCCACTTCTGTACACCGCTTTTTAATAATTTCACACCCAGTAATTTTTAGAACTTCGGAAAGTGTCAAAGTGTCTGAGTCAGACCGCGCTTCGCTGTCCTCACCCCACCCCTTCCGGCTGCTGAGCTGGACAAGTGGATACATAACGGCTTCCACGTGGACAAATGTAAATCTCCCTATATTGGCGAGCTCCATCGACGCTCCTAGTCAGCAGCATTAAGACACGCAGCCGGTGTACAGTCGCGGTGACTTTTCCATTCCCTCTCGGGTCGGGCAAATCGTCACGCGCAAGGACTCTGTGGGTGGCGAACATATCGAACATAATGTGTAACCTATGAAGTGTGAGCGCTGCGGAAATGGGCAAGGCAAGCGTTGGTTGGTATGGGCGGCACTTAGAGCCAGCGCGGCGAGGTTGTTAGCGTTGGTGCAAAGCTTGTGCACTGCTACAGTGATACGATCACGGCACTGTGGTTGACTAGATGCTGACTACGCTCCGTCGATGCCGACGTGGATGTAAGGGGTCAAAAGGAAAAAAGCCGAGATTCTCCAATCCACGTGCTCGGATCGCTATCTGCCAAGAACGCCATCGGAAAATGTATTCTACGTATGGTGACGTGTAGTGCTAAGTACACTCTACGCGTGTATTTAAAATGCGAGGAGGTTATTCGAGAACGCAACTCGCTTGCAATGCTGCTCGCAGCTTGGAAAGAGAAATGGTGATTCCACGCCTGCTGCACCGCTGAGGCTCGTTGAGGGGATGTGCTGAGGGTTGTGCGAATAAGAGACAGCTGTATAATAAGGTTTTACACGGTTCATAGAGATAAAGAACGTTCCGGCGTGTTCCAGTGTGGTACGGAAAGGCCCATACCAGCCAGCACCCGATGGCCTCCAACAAGACAGGCTCGGGAAGGAGAAAGAGTCGGGGAAGAACGAATGGGGAGTTTGTTGGGGAGATGTTCACTGGTTTCATCGAGATCGGTACTACCAGACGTACAAAGTTTGTTCTAGAATATATTTGCACCTTTTCCTTGTCGAGACGTACTTTAAACGTATCATACATGACAGTTCACTTCGGAGGGCACATGAGCACGACACCTGACCTCGTGGTTGACACTCAGGAAAATTTCAGCCACGCGCGCCCGCCCCACGAAAGATACTTCTGAAGGCACTGAAGCTTCGACCGAAACTCCTGAAGGCAAACTGGGCGTTGACTGGCGGTTCGGGAGAGGCGGATCGAGGAGCATCTTGCAATCGACGCTGACGTGCCCATGACCAGTTCGCCAAAACCAAAGTGCCCAAGCCTTTTCCGAGATCCGTGGACTTCGGCGGGCAGTACAAGCACAGACTTGTCCTTTGAAAAGATGCGGAGTCAGCCTCTAGCAAAACTGGCCAGCATGTCGTCACTTCAGTGGGTGGAGTTCCAGGATCTCGGGCACTCACATCCACCAAGCACAATCAGCCCGCAACTGCTCTGCCCCCACATCGTTCAATCACCTCTGTAGAGTCAGCACATATTGTGCAGAGCGAATGTACAGAACTACAATACCCGGACATAGAATCAAAGGGTGAAAAAAATAGTCAATATAAATTAGTGATCATTAGATCTACTTATTCTGACAGATATAAAACATGTAACGTTCGGTGCTTCAGATTCGTTTTGGGCCACCCTTAGTAATCAGGGTTCTAGGTATAGTCAACCCTGATGCTTAGGGTAAAAACAAAATTTCCCTGACAAATTTAGGGTAAAAATACTATAAGTCTGTTTGGACAGGGTAAAACTTGTGGTACACTTTGTGTATGTATAAATAAATGCAAAAGTACTCCTGTTCAACACTTAGTGGCTCAGTTGGTACGATTGCGTATTAGATCTGTAAGGTCGCATGTTCGATTCTCGCTGAGGCAACCCACAAGCTCCGTGTAGGGACCACTAGACTCAAAGGGCTCGTCGGGAAAAGGGCCAGTAAGTCTGTGGTCGAGAGCAAGAGGAGTGGGCTGTGTGGTGGAGAACTGAAGCCCGAACCGCTAAAGGACCTGCTCCACCATGTGTGACTGTGAGGGCGTAATGGTGCGAGCGGCTCTGTCCCTGGTGATATGCATGCCAAGGTAGCGGCGCAGTTCACCCAGGTCAGTGCACGTGTGTCTTTTCTGCAGTTCGGACTTCCCCTTAGCCAGAGCAACCAGCTGTAGCGAAGACCAAGTCATCGACGTAGACAAAGACAAAGAAAGGAGTGGAGCCTCTGCGAACAAACAGCGACGGGTCGGCGGACGAAGGGCGGAAACCGATGTCAGCCAGAGTGGTGCGTAGCGTGTCGTGCTACTCACGGGGCGCCTGGCGGAGACCGTAGACTGGTCGTCTCAGGCTCCACTGGGTCACAGGAGGGAAAGTGCCAGTGAAGCTAGGAGGACGCCACATCCAGATCTTCTCGTGTAGGCAGCCCTGGAGAAAGTCAGTGGAGAAGTCGTGGGAGTGCAGCTCGTAGTCTCGCTGTGCTGCTACGTGAATCAACACCCGAAGAGTAGTCAACTTCGAGGTAAGTGCGAAGGTCTGAAAGAAGTCAACTCCCTCACGCTGACTGAAGCCCCTAGCCACTTAGCGCGCCTTGAAGACAGGCGGTGATCCAGGCGGCCGCTTCACCTTGAAGATCCACATGCCGTCGACTACGCTCGCCCTGGGAGGGGGAACTGCATCGACGTAGGTGCCCGTGGATCCCCAAGACGCCATCTCTAAGTCCATGGCCGCTTTCCACTGAGAGGCCCACTGCCCTAACACTGCCTCACGGTACGTGCGAGGAGTTGGTATGTCAAGGGCGTCAGGGTCTCCCTCAGGGGAAAGCAGCATGGCACAGAGAGAGGGAGAAGCGGCTGCCAAGAACTCCAACTCAAACTACCTGTCCTCTAGGACGTCACAGCCAAGGGCAAACTCACCCCCGGCGGATAGAGGACGGGTAGGCGGAGCAGCCACTACACGCGTGGCGAAGTCAAGGAGGCGGGTGGCAGCAAAGTCAGCGACAGCGGCAGTAAGAGCCGAGACAGACGACGGAGAGGTACGAGGGTCGGTGACAAGAGAGGCGAGAACACGCGGGACAACAGGACGGGCAGCACGGTAGTAGTCAGAGATAGGAGTAAAGGAGACAGGAAGAGACGACTCAGAAGACCAAGGGCTCGAAGTCCACTGACGGGTGGGAACAACTACTGCAAAAGGGGGGGCTGCTGCGGCTGCTGCTGCTACTACGACGGCTGCTGCTGCTACTACGACGGCTGCTGCTGCTGCAACTTCTGCACCTGCTGCTTTAGCAGGGGTGATCATTTTGATAATGCGGAAAGGTCCATAATATTGCGGGCGGAGTTTCGGCAAGATGGGCAGTCGAAGATTCTTCGTGTCCTAGTTGCCCAACAACCATAGTAATCTCTCGGCGTAGCAGATCCGAGTATTCCGGGCAGTTGCATTGGCTTTGGGAATGGCTTTGACAGCTTTCTCGCGGGCGGCCTGAAGTTCGGCCACAAAGTGTTGTGAGCGTGGTACTGTGATTCTCGGGTGTTGTCGCTCTGGGTACCACTCGATCCAACTCGTAATTCAGGAAAAACGGGGAATGATTGGTCGTGCTGGACAGGCCATTGTTGTACGCGAATTCCAGCATCGGGAGTGAAATTTCCCATCGAGGGGGTCGGGGCAGTTCGTGCGAATGAGCTGCTCCATCGTCTGATTGGTTTGAGGGTTCCAGGCCGACAAGAACGGTAGTCTTGTGCCATATTGCACCCACGTCTCCTTCCAAAACGTCGATGTAAACTTCGGGTCCCTGTCAGTGAAGATGAACGACAGTCAAGATGAGGTGCGCAGTTTCTTCCGCTGTGATTGTCGTGCGACATGGTGCGAAGTGTGTCATTTTTGTGATTCGATCGGCGACGACGAACACTGCGTCATTGCCGGACGGGCCAGCTGGCAGCCCCGTGACAAAGTCCATTGTCACCTGTTGCCACGGTCGCTCGGGTGGCTCGAGGGGCAGCAGCAGGCCAGCCGTCACTAGGGGAAAACGATGGCGCGAATTGAAAACGTCACGACCGGCCGGCATCAGGGGAAATTGGCGAGACAAAATGAGACTCCGCGAAAAAAGAATCTGCATCGACCGTGAAACTCCAGCCGAACACCCGAGAGAGTAAGAATTCGTTAAGAACTATGAATGTTACTTCTCATGGTTATCAAGCCTTTGAAAATTTGAAGGGACAGTTAGAGGCTAAGAGGAAGCCTTTAGAAATAGTACCAGTACCAGAAAAGTTGGGGAACCAACTCCAGAGCGTTGAAAAGGGTCAAGCGTTCCGATGAGTTAATATACTCTCCCAGCAGTATAGTATGAAGGCTCCCCGTTCCCCACAGGTGAAGCCGACACAACTGCAAAGGCTTAGGGGAAGGTTCCAGGCCTAGGAGAAGCTGTAACGGCCTCGAAAAAATCCTTCTACCCCCCAGCCACTACTCCTCGAGGTGCTTTGCAGAGGGCGACGCCTCAAGGATAGTGGAGTGTCCCACTCGGTGCGTGACCGCGGGACGTTGGAGAAGATTGGGGAGTCCTCGGAGGCGACCCAGTTCACAGCAACGATGGTGAATGGCACCAAGCTACCCATCCACGGCGAGTCAACGCTACAGCTGCAAATAGGTGCGCTCAGGTGGAAGCTGACACTGCCGGTCACGAACATCAAAGGGTTAGATTTCATATTGGGGCGTGAGTTTCTGAAGCGGTTCAACCCCGAGATAGACTGGGTCAACCGGAAAGCCTACATCTACAGCAACGGGAGACGTGTGGAGCTGCGAAGCTAGACGAATACAGGGGATATTCAGGAGGCAACACTTGCATAGTTCGAGCGAGCGGTGAACGAGAGTAACACGGGTTACCTGGCGCTAATAATGGCAGAAGAACATGAGGAGAAACCGAACTTGGAGCTACCTGCAGCAGTACAATAGGTGTTAGAGGAGTACAAGGACATCGTGCCGGACAGTCTGCGAGGAGGAGTGCCTCCAGCACGAACCCACGAACACAAGATCGTGGAAGAGCCAGGTGCGAAACCAGTCTCACATGCACCATGCCGCCTGAGCCCAACTGGGCTAGCAGACATGAAAAAACAGATAGAGTACCTGCTGATCCGGAAACTGGTCTGGCCATCCACCTCTCCCTACGGCGGACCGGTTCTCTTCACTCCAAAGCCGGACAGTAGTTTACGGATGTGCATCGACTACAGGGCACTGAACAAGCACACATCAAAATAACAAATACCCCATACCGCGCATTATCAAGCTTCTAGACCAACTGCGTGGTGCAACTGTATTTTCGAAGCTGGACCTACGATCGGGTTACTGGTAGATCAAAATGGCAGGTAATTCGATCCACAAGACTGCTTTTCGTACCAAATACGGCTCCTATGAATACTTAGTGATGCCGTTCAGACTCTGCAACGCACCAGCAAAATTCCTGGCGGAGATGAATCATATGGAACAGCTACAGACAGCACTGACAACTGCCCAGTACTCATCCTATCGGATCCAGAGAAAGACTACATGGTGGAAGCAGATGCTAGTGACCAGGCACTCGGAGCAGTACTGATGCAGGATCACGAACACGGTTTGCAGCCCATCACCTACCCCAGTAAAAATCTACACGGAGCAACACTGGATTTCCCAATCCACGACAAGGAAGCCTTAGCGATAGTTCAACGCGTGGAGGTGTTACCTGGAAGGAGCCAAGACCACAGCCTACACTGACCACTGCAGTCCCAAATACCTCAAGTCGCAGCATACGCTCTCACCATAACAGGTGCGGTGAATGGACTTCCTCGAGACACATTTCCACTACGCCATCGTCTACAAGCCAGGCCTACACAATAAAGCCGACGCGCTGAGCCGCCCCGGACATGCAACAGGCATCCAGCTCGACAGGATGAACCCTCTGCTCAAGTGTCTACTCCAACATGGGTACTTTGTGGACGCAGAAATTGCTATAGTAGAAAAGTAGAAACTGTTACAGTGGAAGAAAGACTTGGTGGTAAGGAAAGGTTCAGGAAAGATTTGGGGTATCAAACTATGTCCTTGGCGACAGATATTACTGGAGGAGTTTCACGACGTAACATACGCGGGACATTCGGGAGTAACAAGACGTTAACGGGAATAGCAACGTATTACTACTAGCCCGGGATGGCAGCGGACGTGCAGCAGTTCGTCACTTCGTGCGACACATGCCAGCGGATGAAGAGTAGCAAGCAGAAAAAAGCAGGGTTACTTCAGCCTCTACCCGTACCGGAGCAGCCTTGGCAAGTCGTTAGTCTAGATTTCATTACTGGGCTACCATCAACCGCACGAGGGAATTATGCTATACTCGTGGTGATCGACAAGTTCTCTAAATTGGGACATTTTATTCCGACCAGCGCCACGGCTACAGCTGAAGCAACTGCTCGCCTCTTCTTCGACCGCATCGTCACCATCCACGGTATCCCCGCTACACTCATCTCGGACAGGGACCCAAAGTTCACAAGTAAGTTTTGGAGGGAACTCGTGGGTTTGTTAGGGACAAAGCTTGCAATGTCTTCGGCATACCACCCTCAGACAGACGGACAGACTGAGCGACTCAATCAGGTGGTTGAATATTTACTGCGCACAGCTTGCAAAGACGACATCAGCCACTTGGATCTACAGTTACCGACGCTTGAGTTCGCTTACAACAACGCATCACATGCAGCCACATGGAAATCTCCTTTCTTCCTGCGCTATGGACGAGAACCAATCACACCACAACAGCCAACAACACTGGCACACGTCCAAGCCGCACATGACTTCATCACCATCATGCATCAGTTATGGGAGAAGACTCAGCGACGTCTCACCACAATGCAGAACTCCCAGAAGCAGTATGCGGATCGATAGCGACAAGATCAGGTGACCACTCAGTGGCAGTCGGAGATCAGGTGCTTCTCGACACACGCAACTTGGACTTAACCCATCTTCCGTCCAAGCTCCAGCCTCGTTTCTACGGTCATTTTCGCGTTGAGTTCATGGTGACACCAGTAACATTCCGCTTGCGTAACTACGTAGAAGCTTTACAACGCTTTTCATGTTCAGCTACTGAAGCCTTACAAGGACCCCAACCAACAGTTCCAGGGGCGACAGCTACCGCCACCACCACCTGTTCTCGTACAGGATGAACCAGAGTACGAGGTGGAACGTGTCCTCGCTCATCAACGCAGACGCGGCAACACGCTCGACTTCCTGATACGCTGGAAGGGATACGACCCATAGGAGGGCAGTTGGGTTACAGAAGCTGATATGGGCAACGCACGTCGTGCTCTCAAGGATGATCTTGTCAAGCAGGGTGTTTCTCACGCCACCCAACTTTGAGGGTACAGCGGCTACGCTTACCCATATTTATTTTACCTTGCATTATCTTGCTTATTTCAATCTTCTTGTGTTTGTTTTCCTAGTTTCGTTGTTTTACTATAGTTATTATAGTTATAGGCACCGAATAGGTTTTGTGCACCGAAATTTGTGCATTTCGGTTTATCACCGCGTGACTTTGCATAACGCGTGATTCCACTGAGATGATTGTACCAAATTTGGGAAGGATCCGTTCGGGACGCTTCGCGACCCTCGGAACCTTCTCGTAACACCTGGTTACCTTACCTTGTATCATGCCTATATATAGCCTCGTGTTGTACCCAGGTGATCATAATTTACTTTCTTAACTCGATCCTAGATCCTTACACTCCCCCCCACACGAAATTCCGGTCCTTGTGCAGCAGGTCGGTCAGAAATAATACCTCACGGTATCGAATGAAAAACAGAAATATTTGCCGCCCGCGCCCCGCGCGTTCTGCTGCCTGCGCGCCCTGAAGCCCGCGCACGCCTCTGCTGCCCGCGTCGCCTACTGCTCGCGTGCGCCCTGCTGCCCGAGCACGCCTCTGCAGCCAGCGCGCCCTGCTGCTCTGCGCCCCGCGTACGCTCTGCTGCCCGCGCCCCACGCGCCCTGTCCTGCTTGCGCTACCCTGCAGCCCGTGCTGCCCTGCAGCCCGCGCGCCTGCGCTGCCCGCGCCTTGCCGCGCCCCGCGCGCCCTGCTGACCCCCTCCCCGCGTGCCTCTGCTGCCCTGCGCCCCGCGTGCGCCCTGCAGCCCGCGCGCCTGCAGCCCGGATGCCCTGCAGCCCGCACGCCCTGGAGCCCGCACGCCTTGCAGCCCGTGTCGCCTGCTGCCCGCGCGCCCTGCAGCCCACGTCGCCCTACTGCCCGCGTCGCCCTGCTGCCCGCGTCGGCCTGCAGCCCGCGTCGCGCTGCTGCCTGCGCGCCCTGCAGTCCGCGTCGCCTGCTGCCCCCGCGCGCTCTGCAGCCAACGCGCCCTGCCCGCGCTCCCCTGCAGCCCGCGCGCCTGTGCTGCGCGCACCCCGCGCGCCCTGCCGCGCCCCGCGTGCCCTGCTGCCCGCACCCCGCGCGCCCTGCAGCCCGCGCGCTCCCCTGCCTGCGCTGCCCGCGCCACGCGCGCCCTGCTGCGCCCCGCGCGCCCAGCTGCCCCGCGCCCCGCGCGCCCTGCTGCCCCGCGCCCCGCGCGCCCTGTATTCCCTACGCCCCGCATACCTAGCTGCCCTCTCGCCAGAGCAGCTTTGCGAGTGGGTTTCTCATCGACGCGTCCCTGTTAGTGTAGAGGCTACTAGTCTAAGTGCATGTGAGCCTGTTAGTAGGTGCAGCTACTGCGGAGGCTTTGCACACCTTCACGCTTAACTCAGGCACGTCTCGCTGCTTCTTCCGCGACTGCACCATAGTCACACCGCTCACTGTACCTGTCCCGGTCACTCTAGCTGACCCCTCTGGGGGCCCAGTCGTAGCACGTGCCTCCACCGTTCTCCCGTGTCCGGCAGCCCCTTCCGGCTCGCTTGCAGGTCTCCACCTCCCCTCGTTCACTACGAACTTGGTGAGTAACGCTGTCCTCCAGGACCAGTTTGTCACTGTAACTACTCCTGGGGGTGAGCTTGTGGCGATCTGTATGGACTCACGGACTGGCGCCCACCTTGCCACGTTCACTCGGAGACCCGGGTATGGCCTGTAGACACTGACCACTGAGTCTGCACAGGTAGCTGCGTCGGGTCAGTTAGCTGCGTCTTGTTCGTGTCGCCTTCTCACGCACCCGTCTCTCCCCTGGCACCACCGTCTTGGTCACCCCTCCCTGCCGCGCCTGCATGGCATGCACTCTCGTCTCCTTGTCTCCTTGTCTCGCTCGCTTGCACCGCCGTGCTTTCCCTGCGTCAAGGGGCGGCAACGTGCCGCTCCTCGCTCCTCCTCGTTTCCTCCGACCACTGTTCCTCTGCAGACTCTCCACATGGACGTATGGGGCCCCGCATGCGTCCGTGGACAGGACCACTAGCGCTAGTTTCTGCTGGTTGTTGACGACTACACGCGCTACACCACGGTCTTCCCCTTGCAGAGCAAGGCGGATGTCCGCGGTGTTTTGATACCCTGGATCCGCACTGTTCGTCGCTAGCTGAGCGCACAATTTCAGCAGGACCTTCACGTCCTGCGACTGCACTCTGACAGAGGCGGTGGGTTGTCCTCCCGCCCCCTTGAGGATTTTTGTCATAAGGAGGGCATCGCCCAGTCGTTCACGCTTTCGGAATCTCCACAGTAGAATGGGATTGCTGAGCGTCGCCTTGGCTTGATCATGGAGGTTGCTCGCACCTCCATGATCCATGTGGTTGCTCCCATTTTCTGTGGCCGTTTGCGGTCCGATACGCCGCGCATCAGCTCAACCTCTGGCCCCGTGTCTCTGTGCCAGAGACCTCGCCTACACTGCGTTGGACGGGGGAGGTTGGCGATGCGTCAGCGTTTCGGGTCTGGGGCTCGATTGCCCTTGTCCGCAATTCTACCACGGGCAAGCTCTCTCCTCGCACTCTCCACTGCGTCTTCCTTGGTTTTCCCACAGACGCCCCACCCCGGCAGTTTCACCACCCTACCTCGCTACGCGTCCTGTCCTCCCAAGACGTCACCTTTGACGAGTCGGTTTGATTCTACCGTCTCCACCCCCACGCGTCTTCTCCTGTCCCCCTGCCGCCCCTTTTCCTGGTTCCAGGTCCCCCCCCGGTAGACCCCTCCCCCCACAGGGTCCTGCTCCCTCAGGTGTGTCTCAGGTCAACCCACCCCCCTTGTTTGAGCCTTTGGAGGTCTCCTCTGACACCTCTGGCAAAGCTGAGGGGGGTGACCCTGCTGCTGACGACACATCTGCCAATCGCCGATCCCCACGCTTCGAGACCCCTCCTGGTTTTCTGCCTCGGCCGTCTTCGCCGCCTCCGCAGCCTATTGCCGTGGAATCCGGTGTTGCGGGGGGTGGTGGCACTGGGGGTGCGGACTCTGCGGGTGCTGGTCCTGTGGGTGCTGACTCTGGAGGTGCTTCTTCTGGGGGTGCTGATTCTGGGGGTGCTGCTTCTGGGGGTGCAGCGCTTTCTCGTGGTGGTGGAGTCGTGGGTGCTCACGTTGGACAGCAGCGGCAGTCTCGTCGACAGGAGATTCTCTCTCCGCAGCAGCTTCGCGAGTGGGTTGTTCGGCGATGCCTCTCTGGTTGGGGTACTGGTGCTGGAGGTGCTGGAGGTACTGGAGCTGCTGGTGCTGGAGGTGCTGGAGCTGGATGTGCTGGAGGTACTGGAGCTGCTGGTGCTGCAGGTGCTGGAGCTGGAGGTGCTGGAGCTGCTGGAGGTACTGGTGCTGGGGGTACTAGAGCTGGAGGCTCTGGTGCTGTGAGTACAACGCACCGGCGACAATTTTTCTTCCCGCAACCGCAGTCGTCACTGCCACCACCTGACTCGGCGCTTCGCCAGGTTCTTAGTCTACCTTCTTCCATTGGCCTTACTCCACCTCTACTGTGTCCTCAGCCTGACCAGTCACAACCACCGCTATTGCCTCACTCCCCTCTGCCTGCTCTTTCACCTTACCCTGAGCAGGCAGACTCCATGGCAGAGCGACGTGAGCCTGCGTCTCGTCCTTCCTCGCCTGTTCGCACTGTTAGTCGTACTCGTCGTGCTCGTCCTCCACAAGTCCCCGGCTCACACACTATGGCACTTCGTCCTTCCTCTGTTCCACAGCGTGTTGCCATGCCGTCTCTTCCGGCGTCCTCTCTTCCTGACGTTCCTGACCCTGAGTCTGACCTTGCTCGTGCTGCTAGTCCTACTGTTACGCGTTTCCTGGCCACAATTGTCACTGACCCCTCCTTTGAGTCCAATGATGCGTCTGCCTTGTCACTGAGCTCGTTGATTTTGCTGCTACTTGTCGTCTCAACTACTTCGTGAGTCTTGTTACTGAGTCTGAGTCCGACTGTCCTCCGTCTGTCGGGGGTGAGCTTGCCCTTGGCAGTGACATCCTAGAGTACAGGAACTTTGAGCTCGAGTGCCTCGCGGCTTCTGTGCCTCATCTCGCTTCCATGCTGCTTTGCCCCGAGGGAGACCCGGATGCACTAGACATCCCGACCCCGCGCACTTACGCAGAGGCAATCACGGGTGAGTATCCTCTCAGTGGCAGACGGCCATGGATGCAGAGATGGCTTTTTGGAAGTCCACAGGCACCTACGTCGACGCAGTTCCCCCTCCTGGGGCGAACATAGTCGATGGCATGTGGATTTTCAGAGTGAAGCGGCCGCCGGGTTCTCCGCCTACCTTCAAGGAGCGTTACGTTGTACGAGGCTTCAGTCAGCGACAAGGGGTCGACTTCTTCTAGACCTTCTCCCCCACCCCGAAGATGACCACTCTTAGGGTGTTACTGCACGTTGCAGCAACGTGACCACGAGCTCCACTCGCTTGACTTCAGCACATCTTTCTTGCAGGGCAGCCTTCACAAGGAGATCTGGCTGCGCCGCCCACCTCGCTTCACTCCAGCACATCTTTCTTGCAGGGCAGCCTTCACGAGGAGATCTGGCTGCGCCGCCCACCTCGCCGCCCTCCTGGTCGTTTCCTGAGGGTACCCAGTGGAGCCTCCGGCGGCCAATCTAAGGTCTCCGCCAGGCGCTCCACGAGTGGCACGACACACTGCGGACGACACTTGCGGCTCTTGGGTTTTCCCCGTCGACTGCTGACCCTTCACTATTTATGCGCACCGACCCTTCTCTGCCACCGTTCCACGTCCTCGTGTACGTCGACGACTTGGTCTTTGCTACTGCTGACACTGAGGCACAAACCCTTGTGAAGGCGGAACTGCAGAAGAGACACACCTGCACTGACCTGGGTGAGTTGCGCAGCTATCTTGGTTTGCAGATCACCCGGGACAGAGCAGCGCGCACCATCACTCTAACTCAGTCACACATGGTTCAGCAGGTCCTTCGGCGCTTCCGTTTTCAGTTCTCCTTGCCACGGTCCACTCCTCTGGCCGTGAACCACTCGCTCTCAGCTCCACCTTCGGACGAGTCCGTAGAGCCGAGTGGTCCGTATCCAGAGCTTGTGGGCTGCCTCATGTACCTGATGACCTGCACTCGACCAGACCTTGCGTACCCTCTCAGCATCCTGGCGCGCTTCGTTGCGCCTAGGAGACACCGCCCTGAGCACTACGGGGCTGCGCAGAGGGTACTGCGTTACTTGTGCAGCACGTCAGGCATGGAGCTTGTGCTTGGTTTACGGGGTCGAGTTGTGCTCACTGGGCACTTAGACGCTTCTTGGGCCGACGACCAGGAGACCCAGCGCTCGTCACAGGGTTACACTTTCAGTCTTGGCGCTGGTTCTGTCTCCTGGGGGTCCACCCGCTCGTCTTATGTACTTAGTTCCAGATGTGAGGCAGAGATCTACGCTGGGGCTATGACTGCACAGGAGTTACGATGGCTGACCTACTTGCTTACTGACTTGGGTGAGCGGCCTGGTTTTCCTCCAGTCCTGTACGTCGAGAACAAGTCCATGATTGCCTTGTGTCGCGAGCATAGGCTGGAGCACAGAACGAAGCATGCTCTTCGTTACTTTCTTGTAGGGGAGCTACAGCAGCGTGGTCAACTTCGTCTTGCTTACGTGGCCTCACAGGCCAACACTGCGGATGTCTTCACCAAGGCCCTCGGGTCTGGTGACCATAAGCTCTTTTTTACTGCTCTTTGGCTTGTGCCCACTCTGCCTCACTTGCTTGTTTCTTGATCTATCTTTGCCCTTGTTGTACACTGCTGTATATCCGTATACCTACATGTTTACACTTGCTAGGTTGTGATCAGTGTACTGCCATTGCTATTATGACACTGCATGTGAACTGGCCTTGTGGCCGCTTACTTGTGCTCGGACTGCGTGGTGATCTTGAGATCCACCCTGAGCTTTGCTTTGTTTGATTCTCTTGACTGGTCTTGAGACCACATGCTTGCCGTGGTCGTTTTGATGCATCTCACTCAGGCTATGGGGGTGTGTTGCCCGTTAGGGGTACAACATTTTTCTCGTTTAGCCTGTAGTTTCTCATATATTTCATATATTTGTTTAGCCTCTAGTGAGTTGCCCGTTAGGGGTACAACATTTTTCTAGACACTTGCCTTTCTCAGAATCAGAACGAAGGAATGACTGAACTAGAAAGCAGGTGGGTACAAGTAGGAAACGTAAAAGTGTTGTACCCTATATGAACTACCCCACTATAGCCTAC